GGACCCGCTCGTCTAATACATTGGCTTTTGATTCTAGCGACGTAATCTTTTGTGTGAGATCTGACAACGTAGACTGGATACGATCCATATTTTCCTCAAGTGTTGAGATGGTTGTTTTAAACTCGGCCGATAGGGTCTGGCGATGTTGTTCCAAAAGCTTAACAATCGCCGACATGTTAGGCTCGCTAGTGGTGTCCTCAGTGGGGTCCGTTTTCAGTTATTTTTTGCTCTGCTTAAGTGATTTAGAAGTCATGTTTAATCGAAATTATAGTGCTAGCTACAATTTGTCCGTCTTGAGATTCAACAGTAGAGTAAATGGGCTTAATGTGAGGTTAAACTAAAAAGTATGGGAGCGAGGGACAAACACGTCTACTCCATTAGCCCTCACTACCGGAAGTCCCCAGACTACTTTTTTGATTGCTTTTAGCTTAACTGACAGAGAACAGTTATATTTTGGAATCAAAGGCACATTAATAATCAGTAGATATATAATTCTCAAAATTAAAACTAATTTTACCACACTGATGCAGTCAGTTTAGCATGCATGCATGGATATAATGTCTTTAAAACACATTAAAATGCAAAGATTCATGTCATTCATAAAGACAAAGTCCAAAGACATACTCATACCAGGTTAAATGACACATTGAGTGTTAATTGAAATACTAATTAACTAATTACTCCTGACTAGTGGAAGGCAAGTGCAATTACACAAAAACTGCTGGAAGACGGTCCGAATGTATATAAGTGGTAGATTCCTTTAGAAAGAAAAATTTTGAAGACAAAAAAAAAAAAAGAAGAAAAGAATTGAGGTGTCAATAAATTATGAATAATTTACTGCCATTCCCAGGTAGATCTGACAACGTAGACTGGATACGATCCATATTTTCCTCAAGTGTTGAGATGGTTGTTTTAAACTCGGCCGATAGGGTCTGGCGATGTTGTTCCAAAAGCTTAACAATCGCCGACATGTTAGGCTCGCTAGTGGTGTCCTCAGTGGGGTCCGTTTTCAGTTATTTTTTGCTCTGCTTAAGTGATTTAGAAGTCATGTTTAATCGAAATTATAGTGCTAGCTACAATTTGTCCGTCTTGAGATTCAACAGTAGAGTAAATGGGCTTAATGTGAGGTTAAACTAAAAAGTATGGGAGCGAGGGACAAACACGTCTACTCCATTAGCCCTCACTACCGGAAGTCCAACAGGCATGTTGTTGGTTTAGTGAGTGAGTGAGTGTGTGCGTGCGTGCGTGTGTATGTGTGGTGAGAACAGTTTCTCGAGCTTCTGGTCACAGCTGAGACTTCAGTGTGAAAATTTGCTGTGTGTGAGTGTGTGTGTGTTCAGAGCCTCGGCTCAGGTGTAAACAAACTCAGATGTGTGTTTGCTGGGAGTCAAACGTACACAGAAAATACACTTCACAATATGAGTACTGAGGAAAAACATCCCTCCAGTATCTCGATAAAAACACACTTGAGTAAAAGCAAAGATGTTGCACATTTAATTGTAATTGATACTAAAAGCAAACTGTCCATTAGCTTTAGATACAGACTGATGAACTCAAAAGGAGATTTCCATATTAAAGTAGTTTAAAGGTGCACTAAGCGATTTTTGCCAAACGATGTTGATATTTGAAAGCACCAAAACAAACACGCTCATAGCCCAATAGGACCTCGTCCTTATTTTATAATCTCCGCCCCACACGTACATGGCAACGTACATGGAAACCATGGCAACGATGATCACGGAAACAAGTGAAGATGACACAAGCATATTCAAACAAAAGCCAACCCGGATAAGTTGTGTGAAACAAAGCAAAATCAAAATCAAAGTTACTCACCTATCAATAAGAAACAATGCAACCTCGGCGCCCGATTCCAGGCCTTCCAGCTCCTTGAGTTTTCCGCTCCACTGCTGGAAAGGTGCTCTGATATTTACGCAGGTCCTACCTCTTATCTGATCGTAACCCTTCTTTTTAATGTTTTGTTTCTCTGATATTTTCCTCTTTTTTTTATCTGCCATCTCTCTCTATCTATAGTCGAACTGCTAATATGCGTCCTGTGCACTCAAATTGAGTGTTCTCTTCTCTCTATTATTACAAGACACGCCCCCTTACTGCTGATTGGCTACAAGTGTGTTTTGGGACTCTGTCCGACACTGCGGTCAAACGTGTTTTTCAAAAATCACAGTGCACCTTTAAGTGCAAACCTTATAAATAAAGCAGAAGTGTAATCACACCTGTAACTCATGGACACACAGAAGGTATCAAACTGAAACCATCAAATATTCAAAATACATCAGCAGCTGATTTTAAAGTTTGACATTTTAATGTATGTCTTTAGAGACTGATTATCAACTGTTCACACTCCATCCGCATGAAATGAAAATCATATCCTGCAATCCCGAATTCATATCTGCAAACCAGAGTTCGTATCTCGCAACTCTGAATTCATATTCCGCAATCCTGAGTTCATATCTCGCAATTCCGAGTTCATATCTCGCAATTCCGAGTTCATATCTCGCAATTTCGAGTTCAACATCCACAATCCCGAATTCATATCACGCAAACCTGAGTTCGTATTTTAGAGACTGATTATCAACTGTTCACACTCCATCCGCATGAAATGAAAATCATATCCTGCAATCCCGAATTCATATCTGCAAACCAGAGTTCGTATCTCGCAACTCTGAATTCATATTCCGCAATCCCGAGTTCATATCTCGCAATTCCGAGTTCATATCTCGCAATTCCGAGTTCATATCTCACAATTCCGAGTTCATGTCTCACAAATACAAGTTCATACCTCACAATTCAGAGTTCATGTCTCACAAATACAAATTCATATCTCACAATTCCGAGTTCATATCTCACAATTCCTAGTTCATGTCTCACAATTCCGAGTTCATATCTCACAATTCCGAGTTCATGTCTCACAATTCCAAGTTCATATCTCACAAATACAATTTCATATCTCACAATTCCTAGTTCATATCTCACAAATACAAGTTCATATCTCGCAATTCCGAGTTCATATCTCACAATTCCGAGTTCATATCTCGCAATTTCGAGTTCAACATCCACAATCCCGAATTCATATCACGCAAACCTGAGTTCGTATTTTAGAGACTGATTATCAACTGTTCACACTCCATCCGCATGAAATGAAAATCATATCCTGCAATCCCGAATTCATATCTGCAAACCAGAGTTCGTATCTCGCAACTCTGAATTCATATTCCGCAATCCTGAGTTCATATCTCGCAATTCCGAGTTCATATCTCGCAATTTTTGAAGTAGAACTGAAGTGAAAAACATAATCCATAAATAAAACTTTTTTTTTTACATTAAAATAACACCTGGAAAGACTCTCCACAGATTTTAACGCTCACTTTAATGCATTGATTAGCAGCGGCTCTTTCAGTCTGTCATATTACGCTGAGATGTATTTTTAAATGCACGCTCCTGAATAATCCTCAGACTCAAAACACATTATTCCTGTGAAGACGACGGGCCAGAACGACTGCTGCGATCGATCATCTCCACCCACACACACTTACACAGAAAGAAGAGCAGCCAAATGAGTTGCATTTTCCTACAACACCATTTTATTGGGATTAGACGTTTTTAGAAAATCATTTGTAAAGCTCTGTCCATTTAAAAAGAATCATTTTGTGAGGTGTTTTGTCAGGCAGAATCCAGGTGGAGGATTGCAGACGTGTGCAACGTGAAGAAGAAGAGGCTCAAAGTGTTTATCGATATCACTGCGTTTTAGTAAACGCTCAGAAATCACTCAAGATGAGCAACGACCTACAACAGTTACAGTGTTTACACACACTACTGTACATTTACAAGACACAGCTTCGATTATGAAAGGAGAAGAAGAACTCACACATGTAGCATCATTAGTCTGTTAGAAACGTTTGGTCGTCACTCCAAACGGAAGATAAAGATGTCGAGTCCTGAACGTCATAAAGATCACACATGAGGAATAAATTACCCGCAGAAGGTAAAAAAAATCACTTCTAATGTCACAAAGCATCCGGTTCTTCCTCGTGTGTGTCGGTATATACACTACCGGAAAAAGTGTGTGATCAGTAAGACTTGTAATGTTTGTAAAGGAGTCTCTTCTGCTCATCAAGGCTGCATTTATTTGATCAAAAATACAGAAAAAAACTGTAATCTTGCAAAATGTTATTTCGATATAAAATAATGGTTTCTACTTTAATATACATTAAAATATAATTTATTTCTGTGATGCGCAGCTGAATTTCCAGCATCATAACGCCAGTCTTCAGTGTCACATGTTCTTCAGAAATCATTCTAATATGCTGATTTATTATTAGAATTATCAACAGCTGTGTTTTTTGGAAACTGAGATACTTTTTCAGAATTCTTTGATGAATATAACGTTAAAAAGACAGCATTTATTCAAAATATAAATCTATATATCTTTGCCATCACTTCTTAGCAATTTAACACGTCCTTGCTGAATAAAAGTTTTAATTTCTTTCCAAAAAATAAAAAATGTATAAAAATGTACTGACCCCAAACATTAGTGTATATTGTTAGAAAATATTTCTATTTTAAATAAACGCTCTTCTTTTGAACTTTTTATTCATCAAAGATGAAAAAATGTATCACAGGTTCCAAAAAAATATATGAAGCAGCGCAACTGATAATAAATCAGCATATTATACTGATTTCTGAAGATCATGTGACACTGATGATGATGAAAATACAGCTTCGATCGCAGAAATAAATTCGATTTTAATGTATATTAAAATAGAAAAACGTTCAAATTTATCACAGGTTCCAAAAAAATATATGAAGCAGCGCAACTGATAATAAATCAGCATATTAGAATGATTTCTGAAGATCATGTGACACTGATGATGATGAAAATACAGCTTCGATCGCAGAAATAAATTCGATTTTAATGTATATTAAAATAGAAAAACGTTATTTTACATCATAATAATATTTCACAATATTAAATTTTTTCCTGTATTTTTGATCAAATAAATGCAGCCTTGATGAACAGAAGACACTCCTGTAAAAAACATTAAACATCGTTTTGACCGGTGGTGTAAGTGCACTACTGGTCATTTTAAGACTTTTAGTTGCAGTAAACGATTAATAATGTAGTGATTGATCGTAAAGCTAAACAAAAAAAGACCAGGTCTAATGGTTGATCTGCTGCTTTAATGGTCGTGGAATCCAGGCATGGGGAACGGACGAGCGAAAGCTTCAACGCGACGACGCAGATCAGCGATACGAGACGCCGTCTCCGAGTCCTCCAGCAGGAAACTCTTGAAATCTGACAGCTTTTCTGAAGAGAAACAGAGAAAAACGGTAAGAGAGAATGCATGAGGAGACAGAACGACATTAAAGCGGCTAATGTTCTGCATTTATTTCATCAAAAATAACAGTCAAAATTGTGAAATATTAGTATGATTTAAATAGTGCTGTCAAACGATTAATCGCGATTAATCGCATTCCAAAATAAAAGTTTGTTAACATAATATACAGTATGTGTGTGTGCTGTGCATATTTATTATGTATATGAATATATATGTGACTGACATAATAAATATACACAGTACACACACATATATTATGTAAACAAAAACTTTTATTTTGAAATGCGATTAATCACTTGACAGCACTAGATTTAAAATAGTTGTGAATATCTGTTACAATGTAACTGACTGCTGTGATCAAAGCTGTCACGTGATCTTCAGAAATCATTCTGATCTGCTGCTCGAGAAACATTTCTGGTTATTATCAATGTTGAAAACAGTTCAATATTTTTGTGGAAACCGTGATACATTTTACTTTTCAGGATTCACAGATGAACAGAAAGTTCAAAAGAACGGCATTTATTTGAAATATAAATCTTTTGTAACATTATAAATGTCTTTACTGTCACTTTTCATCACTTTAATGCAGCATTGATGAATACAAGTATTATTTTTTAAAAACAAATAAACCCCAGACTTCTGAATTGTAGTGTATTTGGTTTATATTATAATAATATATATTTAGTTTTTGTTTTTGATGGTAGATGATGATATTGATTACTGACTGACGGCTGATTAATATCACTCAATTTTATGATGGCAACATAAAAAAAGTAAAAAATTGCTGAAATTAAACAAATATTTAATTTACTTGATATTTACAATGAATCACCCTGAGCAATACAGAAGTATATCTGATATTTTAAATAATTATGAAACATGCTATTATTACTGTATGGCTAAAACCGTATTATGTGGAAAATAACTTCAGAATTTTAATTTTGTTACTGTAAAGCTGCCAGTGATCAAATGACAACACATGATATGCAATAACAACAATATTGTTGATATGTAATATGATATATATTGTTGATATAAAACATGATATATAATAAACACAGGGTAATAGTAGATCTCTGAGTCTGTACTCACTGGTCTTCTTCTTGACGTCCAGAGCGATCTTGATGCCCTGATCGAAGTAATCCACCACCTGCTGGAAGTCAGACTCCTTGAACTGACGAGACGTGAGAGCAGGGGTTCCTGGGAAACCAGAGGAGCAGAGTTTGAGAGAGAGTGTGTGTGCGTGTGTTTGAGTGAGTGAGTGAGTGAGTGAGGGTGTGTGTGCGTGTTTGAGTGAGTGAGTGTGTGTGTTTGAGTGAGTGAGTGAGTGAGTGAGGGTGTGTGTGCGTGTTTGAGTGAGTGAGTGTGTGTGTTTGAGTGAGTGAGTGAGTGAGTGAGGGTGTGTGTGCGTGTTTGAGTGAGTGAGTGTGTGTGTTTGAGTGAGTGAGTGAGTGAGTGAGGGTGTGTGTGCGTGTTTGAGTGAGTGAGTGTGTGTGTTTGAGTGAGTGAGTGAGTGAGTGAGGGTGTGTGTGCGTGTTTGAGTGAGTGAGTGTGTGTGTTTGAGTGAGTGAGTGAGTGAGTGAGGGTGTGTGTGCGTGTTTGAGTGAGTGAGTGTGTGTGTTTGAGTGAGTGAGTGAGTGAGTGAGTGAGTGTGTGTGTGTGTGTGTGTGTATGTGTGTGTGAGTGAGTGAGTGTGTGCATGTCTGTGAGTGTGTGAGTTTGAGTGAGCGAGCGCGTGTGTGTGTGTCAGTGTGTGTGTGTGTGGGTGTACAACACCATCATATTTAATTACAGTGGGCAAACAGTGTGTCAGTGTGTGAGCATGTGTGTGAGTGTGTGTGTGAGGTTTATTGGATAAACCTCTAAAAAAAGGTTTATCCAATCAATCAAACTTCTGTTTCTGAGAACCCCAGAAATGTGCAAACGGTCCGTTAAAGCAGGTTTAGCTGTTTAAAGAGTTTAACAGCAGTCGTCTCTCAATCGTCTGTCACAATCATTTACTCCTGATCCAGGTGAGACTGAGTCATAAACTGATCTGCAGCTGCTTTAGACGTGATAAGAACAGAATGGAAGCACAACAACAACATGTGCGTCGATGTGAAGCATGTCCGGCGTGCAGCTGATACACACACGCTCACTGATAATAATTATAATATCCAGCGCACAAAAACATCATTAAAAGAGTTTCAGTGCGATCAAATCATCAAGACTTCAGACGAAGAGACAAACATTCGTTCTGCTTTTCAATAAAAGTGATTTGGATTCACCTCGAACCGGCTGATGGGACATGAGAGAGCCTTTCTGTACAACTATAATGAGGAAACTAGCAGCAGAAGAAACACTCGCTCTGCTCCTTAAATAACCGAGAGTGAATAATAAATATCACAAACTATTATTAAACTGAGAAAAAGACGGAATAAATTAACTCTTTGCTTTAGGTGGAAGAATGGAGTAACTCTGACATCAGTGTCAGTTTCTCTATTTAAACTATTTTTTAATTTTTGTAAGTCAGTTACAGTTACACACATATGTGTGTGTGTGTGTGTGTGTGTGAGAGTTTGTGTGAGTGTGTGCGTGTGTGTGTTTGAGTGTGTGTGTGTGTGTGTGAGTGAGTGAGTGAGTAAGTGAGTGTGTGTGTGTGTGAGTGAGTGAGTGAGTGTGTGTGTGTGTGTGTGTGTGTGTG